TGTTCTTATTTTATATTCTAGCTTGACAATATCAGTAGTTTGAATTTCCAATTCATATGAAACTGTAGATTTTGTATTTTGACATCACAAACATCTAGTTTGAACCTGTGCTGCATTCAACATACCATGTAATAAACATAAATCAATGTTTAGCTGTCTTTAATATTTATTTTTAGATTAAGAAAATAACTAATGTATAATATTAAAATTTGAATTATAATCGACAATTTGATTCCAAATTTATTAACATAGATTCATAAAATAGTAGTTCAATAAAATTTTGAATGCAAGTCAACAAACGAGATGACATGGCCTTTGACACGTGACCCATCGAGATAAGGTTAAATACTATACAGTTCTCTTCTTCTTGTCAAAAGTCCACTTAGGCCACTTTAACTGCTTTAGAATGCAGTTGACATGCCAACCTATTTTTCTCTATTTTTATTGCAATCGTATCTGTGTATAATTCACTTACGCTGTCACGTGAGTTACCGCAGCTGTATTCTGAACTTCCAAGAATCTTTTGCTTTTTGTACTTCCACTAATCATCTGCCTTTTGTCAAAGTCCACACGGGTGGGTTCAATTAGTTGAGAACACCCTTTGACAAAACAAATTATTCTCCTTATCTCTTTAAAACTGTTAATGTTACTCAACATATCAACCAACGGATCATTCATTCCCACGAAGGTTAACTTTACATTTTCTAACTGAACTTCTCTTTCACGTGACTTTACTTTTACTCTGTTTCCATTTGTCTAGTTGCAGCTATTTATACATTTATCATTAAGGCCTTTTAGAAATCTCCATAGCCTCAACATCAATAGATTGCAAACACAACATTCAATAGTCTCTATATCAATAAATTACAAACATAAAATAAATTAATAATACTATCTACACTAAACAGTCTTTTATATCTGACAACCTTGGTCTACATCCCAGGAAAGAAAACCCACCTCAGAATGAGAGTAACATCCATCATAAACTCAGGAATGACAAGAAATTCATTCACGGACAATTGAACAATGACATGTCATCAATCGCCTTTTGTTGTGAAAACAACAAAGGACAGGAGTAAAACCCCTGAATAAGGTCGAGGATCTGGTTCATGGCATTTATAAACCTGGAGATAAGAAAAAGCTTTCTCCAGGCATTGAAGATGCAAATAATCTGAGATGGGTGTGAGAAGATAATCAAAGCCCATGAGAAAACAACTGAATGATCCAAAAGTCTTATTTAAAGGGAATCTGTAGCTGCACAAAGTGTAAGAGCTGAGCTCCCACTGGAGCTAAGATAAAGGGTGGCTCTAGAAACAAGTTGCCTCCACGATCCACAATACCCAGTCCTCCGAGATGAAGATTGTCAGAAAGTATGAAGAGGACAAGGAGCAGGAGAGAGAGCAACAATATGAGGCTTCCAAGAACAAGAAACCTGTTGGGACACTTTGGACTAATCAAAGTAAGCAGTGATTACTGCCAACAAGCTCAAGTTTCCAATATATAGGGAACTCTCCCTAAAATATCACAAAGGAAGGGTGCCACATAGAGGTCTGAGATAAGACTGAGAGAGGCAACTCAACAAAGAAAGGCATCCAAAGCAAGCAATTCCAGAATAGAGAGGCAACTCCAGAAAATAATGCATCCAAACCAAGAAATTCCAAAAACAAAAGAACCAAATTAATTGGAACACTATGAAAGATCTTATAAGATCAAGTCCAAGTTGAAGAATGGGTAGGTAAGAGTTTCCCCAGTGAAGCTGTCACGGAAGCAATGTAGAGCCTAAAAAACAAGAAGTGTAAAAAAATAGTGAAGAAGATGAGCAAGAAAATGACAAAATGAGAAGAATGATGGTGAGAGAGAGAGCCAAAAAGGAGGAGAGGAGATTACCAAGCCAGAAGAAGAGATTCAAGGGGCTGAAACTTAAGGAAAGAAGAATCATGACTAAACCCCATAGAATAAGATTCTTGAGGTTTGGGAACAGGAAGCAGTTGGCATCCAGTATGAATTTGAGACAAAAAGGAGTATCAGGGGAGGAGGAAAAAGAGGATACAGCTACACGGAGAAGGAGGTTCATGCAGCATAGTAGCCCAAGTTTCAGCAAAAAATAAGGGCCATACCTGTACAACAAAAGGCAAAAATGGGGGTTACCTATACCTCATATTGAGGAAAGAAAAATCAAAATCAGTTGGTGGAAACAGCAGGATAAAATAATTGAAAGATGAGACAGACGCAGCTGAAGCAACAAAAGAAGGATATGAGATTAGAATGAAACCAACTAGCTATTGCACAACTGTGGTAACACTGACAATTGAAGAGCCTCCAGTCACCACTGAAACAATAAAAGATAACTCTTTTTGTGTAGTGTCAAGACTTCAGAAGGTTTCAGAAACATGGATATAAGAAGTCACAGTCAAGCCAATCCACGAAACCTTTTTCTTTAAAGTAAGGTCTGAAATATCTTTGGTATATAGGCCTTATTCACTGTCGTAACACCGAAACTTTAAATTAATTATCAAATCCTCAATACCGGGTTGATAATGATGGGGAATAATGCTTTAAATACACCATATCATAGACTCTGGAACACATCCCAAAATCTCATAATATGGTTAAAGGAAAAAACCAAATGAATGTAAGAAAAGATAATTTTAATCACAAGTTCTAACTGAAACATGTAACATTTTATATTTTTCTTGAAATCAAGAAAATAAAGGTGAAAAGACTATATTTGGGATGGGAACTAAAATTCCAAAAATTCTGCAATTCATAATTTACAAAAAATGTCTGAAGCCAAACAGTGCCGAGGAAAAAATAAACTTTGTTAATACACAAGTTACTGACAGGGTCTACTGTGCATGGGTGATAGGTTGCCCTCCTATTGGTGGAAAGTTACAGCCTAATGTCAACTGCATCATAGACTAGCACAATATAATACATGAGGGATAGGAGCATTCAAAAAGGTATGACAAATGTGCCAAAATCCTCTTGGCAGTGGCACGAGGTAACAGCTATCAGTTCTGAGGAGAGGCGAGTAAGATTATTTAAGATTATTTTATTTTTAGTTTATAAAAAGAGAATTTTTTTTATTCATCACAAATTTTAAAACATTTCCTACGGTACTCACATGCAATGGCACAATGTTATTTTATGGTATCCACATAACTAACTTTGGACTGTGTTGGTCATTCTCCATTGTATTTCTGCATCTTTCCATTATAAGATATACATGAAAAAACCCCTCTAAGAGTTAAATCATATCCCTATTTTTTATGTTAGCTTAGATACATAATATCAACAAACCAACAAATAAAAATACATTATTTATATAGAAACTGCTTTAACTGTTTCTGGTCAATGTTTCAGTCTCCTTATTTAAACAAAAATAAAAAAAAAAATTACCATAAATAGT